CTCTCCAGATCCTCAAGAATTATTAACTCCATTCGTAGATTATACATTTGATCTTGTACGTGAACTAAAGCTTCTAGATAAAGTTCATCTAGTTGTTCCCTAAATTCGATTTCACTTCTGTATGTCCCCATTGCTCCCGTGTAACCTGGTAAGAGAAATGGGTATGTAATTTGATATTGTCATTTTATTCGTTTGCCTGATGGGCAATTTTGATTAAATTAGGATGAACTATTTTTGTTCTAGTTCCTGATGTTTTCAGTTTGATATTCCCGTTTTCTAAAACTTCCAGAATCTCATACGGTCCTGAATATTGATCATCATATTTACCTATAACATTTCCTTTAAGCAAGAATACGAATTGACCTTGATTAAATTCTCTAGGATTTAATTTTCGATCATAATATTTCTTGGATCTTTGTTTAGCGTTTTGTAGATTTTCCCTAGCGCGTTGTCGAGTGTTGTCTAGATCATCCATTAAGCTTTCTAGATGATCGTCATAGGTTCTTTCAGCTGATTCACACGCGAAACTTGTTGTCTAGATCATCCATTTCCCTTAAGCAAGAATGCGAATTGACCTTGATTAAATTCTCTAGGATTTAATTTTCGATCATAATATTTCTTGGATCTTTGTTTAGCGTTTTGTAGATTTTCCCTAGCGCGTTGTCGAGTGTTGTCTAGATCATCCGTTAAGCTTTCTAGATGATCGTCATAGGTTCTTTCAGCTGATTCACACGCGAAACTTGATGGTGTTACGTCCGCGTGGAAAATCAGATCCTACGTACGTGGTCTATGTGCGTGGTCTATACGTGGTCTATACAGCTATAGAAAGACTAAACAGTGGGTCTGGTTTTCATCACATAGCGACCCTAGAATACGGTTATTTAATATATAGGTTCTAGGTCCACTGACAATGAGTAGAACCTAACGGAAATGTTTATAGAAAGCATATTTAGTCTATGGTTCGACAGTTATTGACGTTGTTTATGCGACGCATATGCGGACACTCTTAACTTTATGACTCAATGACCCTTCCTGGAAAACCCCACTAAAAACTCCTTATTTATTTACAAAGAAGTCATCCTCATCAAATCCTGATCCAGCAATTCTTTCACCCTTATGCAGAGTACCCCCGCAAAAATTCCCAGCACCAATGAATTAATTTCTTTAACCACTCTATGCTCTTTTCCTTAAAAATTCCTCTAGCTGAACCAATAGTAATAATCCCTAACCCTACTCCAACAATCCACCCCCGCTAACTAACATCCCTAATTTTCTCCAAGACTCACTCTCATTCTCCGCTGGTCCGTCAGACAGTCTAGAAAAAAAAACAGTTTTCCGCTTTCGGTTCACTAAGTACAATTATCAGTTCACTCCAATTCATTATAATTCACTAAGTTATTCAGTACCAATTAAAATTGTTTTACTTATTCCATAAAATAGTATTTTCATAGAGTGTGTTGTCTGCGCGGCAATTTTATAATAAATTCTACTCATTTGTTCATTAACTTCGCTCTTATATATATATATATACATTCTGCCTACAACTAACCTCTTCCACACCGCAGACATCTTCGATAACCTTAAGCAACAGAATCAAGGTAAGCACAATCAAATTATTATTGGTGAAGGTACTCTTTAATTTTTGCTGAATTATCATAAATGTTAGATTTCCTAGGTTCAATTGTTTAGTTGGTGATGGTTTTCATTTGTTTAGAAACTTTCAAATCAATCCTAGCAAATATCCAGTTCAATTCATCCTTCCCTTGGTAATTAGAGGCATAGCCCAATCCCGAGTAAAGTGCGCAAGCATTGACTCAAAACAGGGCAAAGTTATAGTATATTACGGCTCGGTAAAGGCACCAGTCTAAGCCTCCATTGTGATTCGGACGTAACAATAGAAACAATGTTTTTTATTTACCAATATCCGAAAAAGTTTTATAAAGGAACCAGAGCATGTTATCAGAAAGTTTCCTTCGTAATCTTTCTGCGCGAGCCTTTTTCCCAAACGAGTTAACTGAGGATGGGTCAATCCCAAAACTTAGGGTCCGGTTGCATTTTTGACCGGGGGGTGGACGGCAGGGGAGTGTCTCATAGACAAGCAGAAAATGGAGTTGCGTGTTTCGACCACTGTGTGGTGGGAGAAAGTACGTCTTTTTATAAACAGAGAATGACTGGTGTTTCGTCAAAGAAAAGTCATTTTGAAAATATCTAAGGACCATCGTGTGATCTGAAGAAGATTTTACACCTTAACCCTGTTACATCCCTCCTCGGGGATATCATGTGTCAGGAATTTCATCGGGCGAATGAGCCTGATAGGAATTTGAGGGTCCTACACAGCATTTGTGAAAAGCAAAGATAGCAAAAATAGTCCAATGGTATAAAAAGGGTTGCACGAGTCAACCTGAAAGTCCACCCATTTCTTACAAGTAGCGAATAGAGATGGCGCAGCAGTTCAGTCTTAGCTGGAAACATCTCAGAGTGCCAGTACATCAAGTAACCGAAGGACCAGCGTATTGCCAACTCCGAAAATGAAACGCGATCTAGTTAAAGTTTCAAATCTTCAGCCCGCTACGGCTGTCATGAGGGATTTAATGCGAGACGACTTTTTTTAAGACAGACCGCCTAGACAGAAGTGTAAGGGTCCTACAGAGAATTTTTAAAAACGCAAAGATAGCAAAAATAATCCAGTGATACAAGAAGAGGATTGTGTGGACCAGCAGACAACTATAGAACAATCACGAAATATAGAGAATTCGTAGTGAGGATCGTTAGAGTCCCATGTGGCAATTATCATAAATCGCGGTGATCAATGTCCTCGTGTTTCTCCTACTTCTCGGTCTAGTAAAGCTCGTACTAACGCCATAGATTTACTCGCAGCTATTGAAATAAAATCAACGACACCGTGCGCATCGAGCGCCCCACACGTATGTGCTGTCCGTGTGGTTTTCTTCATTTCCAAGGAAGCATAAGTACACATGGGTAAGGGGGATCCATCGCGATTGGTTGTAAAGTTAGCTCGAGCGAATCGCTGCTCGAATGACCCTTCGCCGGTGCGCCACAGTGCAGAACGTCTCGTAGCTGATTTGCTGCCTTTACTAGCAAAGCAAGTTGTCTTGGAAAACGCGACTCAAGTAAATGAGCTCTGGCAATGACGTCAAGCGTGCACGTTTTCTCCCTCACTCCATCCGACTCCCCTGCCCTCACCACCCCTCTTGGATTTACCGAGTCAACGCGTGGAAATGCTATGACGCGCTAGTTGACCTGGCTCACCCCCCACTCCCGAGTAGCAGCTCCTCGTTATGGAGGCGCACTGTCATTAATATAAATAACGGGATGACAGCTGACTTCAGGTCAGTCAGGTGGAACACCTCGTGAAACGTGCAGCTAACGGGTGCGTAATCGATCGACGCTCGTCGAGACGAAGGTACCGAAGTTTACGTGTCGCCGTTCGTCCGATTTAATTCGATAAACAGTGTGATACACGTGCTTGTTGCCCGGCTTGTCGATTCGAGGCGAATCGGCGCGTAGGATTGAATCGTTTTAGTGCGCTATAAGGACTGACAGCTCAAGGCTAGGAAACAATGATTCCAAGGGCTGACAACGTCTTGGGACCGCCCCTGTTCACAACCGCACTGACTCTTCTGCTGGTAAGTCATTCTGGGCATTATAAATAATCCACACACAGGTGAGTCCACTGATATGCTGGCTCACGGATCTCCTAATTTCAAATGTTGTTCCGATCATTCCCAGAATTCCAAGTAGGTCTTCGGTCGATGTACACAATCGAATGTCATTAATTAGTTATTGATTTTTTTTTTTTTTTTTTTTTTTCGCCAAAACGCGCAATAGCTCCTATAGAAATCAAAACTATCTCCGTTCAAATGTTTAAGTGTTCCTCTGCAAAAGTCGCTTAAAGGGTTACGCAGCTTTGGTGGGTAAATCGATTTTTTTAAAATAATATATTCCGTTTGTACTACCCTTTGATGAAACGCTCATAAAAATGTCATTGTAAAATTTGCTAAACTTAACGGGATTATGGAGCCAAACGTTGGCGCAGGTATCAGACAGGGGTCGGTGCCCCGCAGCGCAACGAAGGGTCCCTCGGCGACATTGGAGTATTGCACTAAAATTCTTTTGTACTTGCGGACGTTCTTAAAAGGAATTTAAATGCGTTAAACGGGACCAGGCACAGAGAACAGAGAAGCTAAGAGGATTCAGTACACAGAAGGTAAGTATTAATTACTTAGATGTAGGAAAGGAGCACGTGGAAGAAGGAAAGAGGGCTGACAGCGAGAGCACAGGAAAAGGGGCCCAGGAAAGGACACTGATCGTACGGGGAATAAAGTGGAGAATCTTGACTGTATACGAAAGAGCTCATAGAGGAAGCACAGAGATTAACAGAAGAATCGAGTGGGGACTGTAACGCAATAATAGAAGCTAAAGGAGGACGTGAAACGTGTGACGAACGAGGATGGAACAGCAGAAAGTCGTAGGGAAGAAAATAAATAAAATGCCGAAGAGACGGCAATGTAAATTGAGCTGCGGGAGGATACTCGAAGACATGGTGCCGAGTGTTCGCGATATGAGGACTCGCCCCGAGTCAGCACCGGCGACGCGAGTGATGTCGTCAGGAACATACTGTGTACTCTGAGGCGCATGCGCGCACAACGCGTCCGTCAGGCCCACCGAGCGCCGATGACCGTCCAACCCGAATCAGCACAGCCTGAACTCAAGAAATCGGAGAAATCTAAATCGGATAACTTATTTCGCTCGGTAAACGTGCACGGGTGTTCGAATGTTTATCCGAGACTTTGCTGGAATTATCTAGGAGACTCCGCGTCCACGTGCGACTGCGTGCGCGCTGGTGTTGCGAATGCATCGCGCAAAGCACCCCTCGGCCATTTCTCATTACCAGTTCGGTAGGCACTCGTAGTGACGACCGATTGGGCTGCTTGCCGATCTGCGAATAACAACTAACAGAATACCCTCATTCCGAATTATTACCGAAATTATCGTACGGCAGTGGATGCTGAATCGATCTTGTGTCCTCTATAACCAGACTATCAAATGCCATATTTGTTTCAGGTAGTACAAATGACTGGGAGCTTCCCGCACAGCATCGGACACACCAGTAACCCTCGTCTTCAGGAGAAAACAGCTTACAGGGCAGAAGACCAACCGGAAAATCAAGCGATGCTCGGTGCTCGCAATGGTGAGTCTCAACTAGAAATTTCCCAAATTGAGGAAAAGACGCGTTCGAATGTCAGAAGCGAATACAATCCGCGGATGTCATTATTAGGAATATTAATAAAATCAATTAAAAATTAACATTCTCCATATTTTCAGTGCCAACTCGAATCGACTCTACGCAGGCCGACGAGAAGATCGTCTTCCCGTCCGAGGACAACGAATCTCAAGTCCACAGATTCGTTCCGGGTCCAGAATCCGTTTGCAGGGGTACCACCTACTGCGAGCACTCTCCGGATTATCCGGAAAACTATATTAAAACGGCCATCAGGACGCAGGAAAGTCTTAAATACTTCACAGGAGTCGATGAGGTAAGCTGATGGTTCTTTGAAGTCCGCCTTATAAGAAATGATTTCGCGTAATTTCACTTCATTCCATTTTCATTCCTAGACCGAACAATTGGAATGCGAGATAGACTTTCTTAATTCGTAGAACTTTTCAAAGCTGTAGCTGAGAATAGGACGCACGTGCTTACGTGTACGAACGAATGACCGAGCGATTAAAGAAATTTCGTTCATGACGTAACTAACTTTTCCATGACCTAGGGTAAACCACGTGGAACGGTTCAGATCGGAAGCAGGAGTCTTGTTGGTCGTCGTGCGACCGGGTTCTTTTATTACCGTATTAAAATATTTATATGACGTCCATGAAACTGTGACGAAGATCCATACATAATATCAAACCTACATATTTCGTATACGAACAATATACAATATCATTTCCTTTATCTCCGACCCGTACGGAATACCGATTGATCCTTTCGATCTGAACACGTTGATACGTATAGAAATGACATTACTTGATAACGACCAGGCAGCACATAAAAGTGAATCTCTTTGACAGCGGACTTTGTTACTTCCTCACGCAGATATGCCTAATCAATTTTATTTTACCAGGTCGTGAATATTATACAACGGATAGACGACTCCCCTCTGGAGGAAACGCAGCTCTGCGTCTCGACTGTAAGTATTGCGTCACATAAGTCAATACCATATACCTCCCCGATCTCAAACTGTCAGTAAGAATCTTGTAAAGAAATGTTCATCAAACCCGCAGGAACAAGTGATCATCCCGAAGTCAGCGGAAAACAGGGATAAACAGTGGCGCTACATAGTAAATCACGGGAACGTCACCCAGGGAGTGCGAATCGAAAGGTGCCAGTAAGTTCGACGAGAAGCATTAGTAGTTTGCCATAAGGAAGAGAAGGAAAAAGGATTTCAAATGTTTTCTCTTTCCCTCAGGAACGAAGGCAGCGAATGCAAAATCCTCGAGAGCTCACCTAACGGCTACAAGACGAGCTGCAAGCAAAAGTACATCTATCGTCAGCTGATGGCCTTGATGGCGAACGGTTCGGTTTCGCCGGACGTGTTCCGGTTTCCGGCCAGCTGCTGCTGTCACGCCAAGTTCACCGGAAATCTCCTTACGAGGATGGGAATGGATATCGGCAAAGCGAATCTTTCTGAGAAGCGAACCTCGAGTTATCAGGCTGATTGGCCGTGACGGCGGAGAATTTCGAATTATCGGTTCGCCCCGTTAAAAGAGGCGAGAGTACACGCGGAGACTCTTGACAAAGTAATCGGCATCGATGGCGAAATTGAAGATTTCGCAATGGAGCTGCTCGCAGCGCACTCGATGGAATTTTAAGAGATTTCGATGAGAAACGAGCCAAGACGGATACACGGTGGACACGGACGTGTCGCCGGCACACTTCCAGGAGATGCCTAAAGTGGCTTCTCAGTCTTTCCTCGGCTTCTGTTATTTCATGACTGAATTAATTCCGCCATGCTTGGCGTTGCCGTGAAATATAGTTGTACTGCGCCTGTGGCGACCACCCGGCAGCTATAGAACTGTGTCATGAGATATTGAGAGTCACGAGCGAATTATCAGAAATCGCGGTAAGTGGTACCCCTCCCTTCGAGTACTTCTACTTTTCTGTCTAATAAATCTTGTACTGACGCCACAAACTTACTCACAGCTATTGAAATAAAATCAACACGAGAGTTCGAGCCTCAACCACAACGAGTCGTGAAAAGACACGAGGATGAAGTTAAATCTAAAAATGGTAGGTTCTATAACCCTATTATACATTTTTTATTAATAAGAAATTCGTCAAATATTCAATAATTTATGTTTACAGTAAAAAAAAAGAAGAAATAATAGAGAAGCTCAGACTCAAACTTTTCGAGGATTGTTTTGGAGGACATGCTTACTGAAATATAAAGTTAAGACGAAAATCTCCATACACTACGAGAAGAGATTGACAAAAGTTGAAAGATCGTTAAAGTGAGAACCAACCTAGTTGTTCAGTTACACCAAGTATAACTGTTGCTCAGTTTTATTTGGACTAGTACGCTGCATTATAATAAATCGTGTTCATTTTCTTTATCCAAATTCGCTTTCACATTTTTCCTATTTTAAGTCTATTCCCTTTTCGTACCACTATCATCATCAATCATCATGATAATCATCGGAATCAAGGTAAACACAATAAAATTATTATATTTGGTGAAGGAACTCTTAAATTTTGTTGAATCATAGTAGATGTTAGAACTTCCGAAGTTTTCAATTATTCAGTTGGTGACGGTTTTCACTTGTCTTAATATCTTTAGATTCAATTTTATCACATATCCAATTCTATCAATTCTTCTCCACGTTAATTAGAGGCATAACACAATCCCGAGTAAAGTCCGCAAGCATTGACTCAATTAATAGTATATTACGGTTCGGTAAAGGCACCAGAGACTAGGCCTCCATTCTGGTTCGAACATAACAGTATCAGGAACTGGCCATTCAAGTAAGTTCTAAACAAGTGAAGGATACCTGGCGATTCTATTCTACGAATTTTGTGAAACATCGTCATCATTACCCCATCATTCACAAAACCCCGTCACAACTTCGTCTGGACCCCCTCGAGGATCCATGCAAACAGCATCACTGAGTCGACACTACTACAGGGGGTCCTGCTTGTACTGAAAGATCAATTAAATCGCGTCAGCTGCGGACATAATTCGAATTTAGTATTCGTGCGAGATAGACAGTTGCCTTAGAGGCTGCAGGCCTAAGCTTATGCATTTAAATACGCACTCCCTGCGAATTAGATCCCCAAGGCTGGGAGAGCTTGACGAATATCACGGCTGGCGGAAATCAGGTGAAGACAACACTATAAGGCATTTAGCTCGGCGTTCAAAAAAATGATTAAATACGACAAGGGCCAAATTTGATTACAATGAATTACAAAAAGAATTCAAAAAACATTGCATAGACTGTATGTCAGACCGCGAGTCAGAGAAAAATTCAGCAGTAAAATCATATATGACGTAGAACCAGAAAGCAGGAAAGTCAAGAAAGGCACCGACTGTTGAACTTTGACCGCGGAGACATTTCGCGAAACGTCAACACAGTATTTAAATCCCTCTCGTTGGGTCCGACAGGGCCCAGAGGATGCGCCGATACAAGGGGGCCCAGTTGGTATCGTTTTTGCACTCCAACGAGTAAAGTTAGTAAAAGGCTCTTACGGCGCATAGCCTGAGTAGCCTCCGTGTTAAACTCGCGAGTGAAACCAGGGATTCGGGACACCAGTACACCAAATCTCCTCAATGTAATACGAGCAAGGAACCCCTAGTGTATTGTCCGGACAGAGTTTAGAATTGCGAATCAAATTAATGTTATGGAATCCTGTTCGTAATCTACCGCTAAGCTAATCTGTAAGTAATCGCGAGAGTCAGTGTGTTATGGGAGAGAGCATGAATGAATAAACAAAATTAATATAAATCGTCTCTCGTGTTTATTTCGTAACCTTATACCCTAACCGAAGGACCGAGCCCGTACGAGACAAAGCGCGTACCCGAAAAAAAAAAAAAAAGCAGAGTTACGTCTCCTTAGCGCACATTCGGGACGTAATAATAGAACTAATTCCTGGATTTTGTAAATTCGCATCGCGGAACAGGAATCTCGTCCCGCTTTCGCTATAGTTATCCGTTTTCGTGCATTAAGTACTGTTTTATTAACTTTTTAGAACTTGCCCTGCTACATTTCCTCTAGATCTATCGATCTGTACTAATCGTTTACAGAGAATTAATTTACCGAAATATCTGATTTCTACGTTATGAGTTCAGCTTAGCGTACGGGGACTCTCATCCCGCTATCGCTACTAGTTCACTTGATTCTTGATTGATTGATGAGTTTTTGATTCTTGAGTTTTTAGCCGTCCTGCGTATCCGACGACATTAAGCCAACGCCTATCCACGCTGAACAATAACGTAAATACCTTGTTCGTGGTCGAAAGAACTACATCGTATGTAGAAGTTCGTTTCTATCAGTTTTCTTAATGATTTACAATTTTATATTTAACAATTGGAGATTTGAATTTCTATCAACCGTCGGGTAACAATACGTTCTGTACAATCAAGTCTCATGGCCATCAACGACATAGGGTGCAAGTAACTGGCCGATCTCGGGTGAATTTCCGAAAGGTCAGAGCCTGAACAGGCTTTATGACCATCATCCCGACGGCTATTTACATTGCTTGTAAATGGCCGTCGGTAAAGTGGAGTTGAACGAACTTCCCATTACTACTTTACCGACAATATGCGATCGTCCGTCGGAAGTAGTAAGAGTTTGTAAATATAGTTGGTAGGGTGCAGTTACCGATCCTTCTGCTACTGCTGTACCGATTATGTCCAAACCGTCGTCTGGACACTGCCGGGAAGTTAGTGGGGAAAAATGAAAATTGATGTTTATAATGCCTAAAAAATTGCTTCTTAACACTATTTTATAAACGTATTTTTGGGTTTAAAACGGTCAAATTACCGCTCGATGATACGTTTAGTGTTAAATGATCCATATATCTTTTCCTAATTGCTTCGCTGTAAATATACTTTGTCAAGTTCACCGATCCTCCAACTATTGCTTTGCCGTTTGTGTGCAACGTCATCTGGATGGATCACATTTTCTTTCAGTTTAAACAGAGCTGTCAAATTACACACATCGTAATAAAGATATTCTTAATTCGAAAACATATCTTCCTCATATTGGAAATTGCGACTGAACTATTGTTTAATTATTCATAACTACTAAAAAGAAATTGCATTTTTGAAGTGAAACTTTTTATGACACGGTGTGAATTGAAAATTATGAAACGAAAAAGCGTCAGTAAAAAGAGACAAACGATATAGATATATAAGCCCGTATTCAAAACCCGCTCTTAAAGTCACTAAGAAAAAATTTAAAGGCGAGTTCTGAATACGAGCTATAGGGATTAGCGTGCGAGAGAATGAGACAAATATATTCATGAAGTTATGCGGCAATCCAATTTGATATTTTTCACGTCGGAATGAAAATAAGATTGAGAAAGGTAAATAATCCTAATGAAACAACAACAAGATCAGGAACAACTCTCGATGCAGTATTTGCATGACATTTAGACAAAATTGAATCATATTTTAGCAATCACAAGCCAATTGTTTCAATGATGGAATCATAGAAAATTAAATGTCATAGTGTTAATAGAAATTTGAAAAAAATTTAATTTTTTTAAAATATGAAAGGAGTATGTTGCGTAGTATCGCCATTATATTAGTTCGCATCAACCTCCACTCTCTTTGGTCTCCTTTTCGCTCTAACGCCCCATGCTCATATATATTTACAAGGGCGTAAAGAATCTGATGCCGAAAGAAGTAGCGAAAAGTTCATCATTGTAACATCTAAAACTGATAGGGTTACACGACAAACGGAAAATATTGCAATACAATTCAGAAGAACTAGAAGTGCCCAAAAAAGCATGCTCTAAGAAGGAGTGTAAATGTACAACGCGCTACTAACAGAGGTCAAAAGTTGTCAAAAACTGATAGCATTCAAGAGAATGTTAAAGGAGTATATTATAAGTACAATTAATTAAGTGTATCATACACGCATGTAAAACAATGTACAACAATTAGCTGAGAAAGCTAATAAACATGAATAAAAAAAAAATCTCATTGTCATATGAATTTCATTAGATATCCGAAAAAAGTTTCACTTCAACCATGTGATCTAAGCACACACTCTTTTCTTTTAATGCGGGGCGTGTCATGAAGGTAACCCAGCATTTTTAAAATCCCCATTTTTTAAATATAATTAGCAAAACTATTTTTTAAAATTATCAAAAGCTCTTCCAGGAATAACCAGAACTTTTTCAAATTATAATTTTCTTTTTCAAATTTGCACAATGGTGATGCTAACTTGAGAGAGGTCAAAGTTTTCTTCTTCTATGGAAGAACTTGGAAGTAGAAATAAATGTTTTTGGGACCCACCATACAAGACACACAAACGAGACTAATAAATAAATTTTAAGTACTCACCGAAGATGAGTATCGGGTTTAGCAAAAGATAAAAATGACAGGAACCTGCAAAACAAAAGCATCTGTAAGTAATGATAGCATGGAACAAGATGATGCGAACAAAGAGGAACATATCAAAGCTTTGATAAAAATAAAAGGACCCCACCATTAATAAAAATAATACATTTTAAATCAAAATATGAAATAAGAACAAACTCAATATATATATAAAAAGATGACGTTCTATATGTACACCCCTGAGAAAGAGAAAAATCAAACATTCCTACTTAAAAGATTTAGTGATTTAAGATTCAAAAAAATTTTTAGACAAGATAAACAAAAAGAAGTCAGAAGTCGAAACAACTTTTAAATAAGAAAATCCTTTGAAGAAAATAAGAAGCTACACTGCAGATATTTCTCCTAATAGCGCTAAAACAATCAAATTAAAAACATTTTTTACCAAGTAATATCTTGAGAACAACTTAAGAAGGAAACAATTCAATGCAAAAATTGCCTCTCAATAGGACAACATTAAACTTTGATATGTGCTATTGATGTAATAAGTAATAAGATGATCATCGAAAAGATGAATGTATAGCAGAAAAAGCAAATAAATAGCCCTTGGTTAAAGGTCTTCCCAGTGCATACTATATGGAAAATAAAACACTAATATCCAGCTACCTAAATGGAATAAATGAAGGTCAAGGGGGGGAAAAAAAAGGAAAATAATTAAGAGATCATTGTA